GGTTACCGATTTACAATTCACATCATAAATCAATGTCTGATTATTTTAATGCAAAATGGTTTTAGCTTCATTTTATTGCACTAAGAGTTTCAATAACACACTATAATTTGCTCAGATGAAGAGGTGATTGGACAGCTCTTACAGAAATTTTTAATTACTGTCATTAGCGGCTGCAATCTTATTCTTTTCTATGGAGCTAAGATACGTGCTATTGCACTGTGCTACAGGTACTCTGTGGTCGTGAGAATCCAAACTCTCCCTTTCCACTGAAATACTTGCATCTACAAATCTGTGTCATTGTGCATGTCCCATCACAATAATTACCAGCATCACACAAACATTAATTAATGGATCCACATGCTATTTTAGGCAGATAGAAATGTATTGCCTCAATTTACAAAAAAAAAAAAAAAAAAAGAAACAAAAGGTTAAAAGGGGTTTTTCACAAGTAAAAAAAGAAGGGGGGCGGGAGAAAAAAAAAATTTTTTGCCCAAATTTAAAAAAAAAAAAAAAAAAAGAGAAACTAGAGCTTAAAGTGTGTTGTCCACAGTTAAGATAGGAAGTGTGCAGGAAGTCCAGGGATGGGGCAGCAGGGGTCCTGCCTCCAGAGAGAAAAGCTGTGTTGCAATGCCGACAGCCGAAATCTGCGGGGTGACATGCAGGACAGCCCTTGTCCTTCGCCCCGGGGGAACAAAGGTCACATTTACTGTTTCTCACAATGGACCTATTGTTGTTGGAGGTCCATGTTCTTGCTACTGCTTGAAGCTCCTAATACGTAAACAACTTCGATTCCCCTAGATGGATGCAGAAAGCATTGCACGCTCAATCGAATACAAGTCCCTCTGTAATTTCAGCCAACTCCCTTAGCAGGTCTTCCAAGGGCCGCTACCGTGTACTGGCAACTCATTTCAAGGAAAGATGAGAATTTAAGAGACTATGTTCTTGGAAACACCTGATAAAATACTTCAGATAATCTTTGCTGACATGTGAGCACTGAGGGGTGCGCTCACCCCGCAGCTGGGCAGCAGGGGAGACAGAGAGGCTGGTAGCACTGGACAGGCCATGCAGGACCTAGACTGGGGGACCAAACAGGCAGGGATGTTTTCTTCCACTCACATTAGCCTAATTTGAGTTAAATGTGGCTGAAAATGCAATGCTTACCTGGGTTCAGCTTTGCATGTCCTCAGCTATTGTAAATAGCTGGATGTAGGACAGTGGTGCTGCCTATGTCTTGACAAACACGAAGAAACTTTTTCTGCCAGTGGTAAGTTTGTTCTGCCCATCCGCCGAGGACACCTGGGCCCTGCAGGGTAGAACAGGGGCGCAAAGGGCATGAAGATGAAAACAAGGGAAATGACGGTGGCGCAGGTCACAACCGCCATCTCCTGAGTTACAGATCTTTGTTTCCCGGTACCCTGCACTGTACCGCAGGAAGGGAAGCCCCTGCCCTTCACATACTTCCCATTTCTCTTCTCCCTTTCCTGCCCCCTTCTCCCCAGTCCTCCTTAAAATATCTGAGCTGACATACACAATTTTCAATAAATTAATTCTTTTTCACATATTAAAAAAAAAAGGCTGAAAATACAGTTCACAAAATGTCCTGTCCAGTTTCCCCACAAAGTCCCTGCTCTGGCCTGTTAATTTTAAAGCCATTCGACTACATATGTTGTTTGAAGAATGCTGTTCCATTAAGCATTAAATGGAAAATTAACTGCAGTCTGAAGTATGGATTCAGCTAGCCCCATCAGTACTCCATAACATTTCATATGATGCTCTTAAAAGCTGTGAAGGTTGGCTACTTTTCTAGTAAAATCCAGATAATCATGACTCAAGATGTTAAGGGCTGTTACTGTAGAGAAACTGGATCTCTTCTTCCGTGGAAGTAAACTAGTATTTGTAGATTTTTTTTTTTGTGAAAGAAGTAAAACTACATCAAAATTCAAGAAACAAACCCCTTTCCCAACTGAGCTGTCTTGGTTGGAAACCATCTGGGTGGCAATCCTCCAGTGATGCGGATTTAGATGTGGTCTGGTCTCCGGAGAACCGGGTTTAGTTCATCTGCTTTTGTGCGTGTGCCGAGAAGCCAGCGGTGCAGGTAGGTATGTAATTACGGGCTTATTTAAAATGGAGATTCTTTTACATGGCAGATTGCAGCATGCGCAGGAAGAATAATGCCCACAGAAAATAGAAAACCTCCGTGAGGGCTCTTGTACTCTATTGTGCTGTCGCCTATTTACAGGCTTTGGCTTAGAGATGATTCCTGGTTTGCTTTACACCGGTGCGGCTTTGCGCGCGGGCTGCACGTGCACGGGGCCTCCTTCCCTCAGGCCGATTGCAACGGGGACTCGCCTGCTGTTGGGAAGGCACCTGGAAATGCTGAGCAGCTACAGTTGCACTGGTATTGAGCCCTGCTCAAACCTCAGGATAAACGCAGGAGTATAGCAAACACAGGGGCCACAAATCCCATGCAGCTTCTTCAGGGCTTCTCCCATTACTATTGCTGCCAAATACTGGTCACGCAGCCGCTATTTTGCTGGGTTTAACGGCTGTATTTGATTTAATGCGGTATTACAAACATTACGTAAAATGGTTTACAATGACTGATGATCTATTTTCTTCTGGCCTGTCTTCAAGTAATATTTTGTTTGCAAAGAGCAACGCAGCCGACTTTGTAAAATCCTGTCGCGCTGCTGTACTCCCACGGGAGGGGCGGCAACGGGCATCACCCCCGCTCTCGCTCCCTCGTGGCGCGGCGGCAAATCCCGCTGCAGGTACGGCGGCAGCACAGGGCAGCCTGCGGGTTTTCCAGTCAAGTGCACTTTCACTGCCCGGCCGGGCAGGCGCTGCGGAGCGCGGGGCCCCAGGGGCGCAGGGTGCCCGGGGGCGCAGGCCCCCGCCCGCCTTTCGTGGAGAAGCCCCCTCTGCCCCTGAAAACTGGCAGGTTCGGGGGTTTCACCCCCGAGTGGTGGAGACAAATCCAGGTCTGACACATAAAATTTGAAAAAGAGAGACTCGGGGAGCACGCGGCTCCCCCGGCCGGGCCCCTCCCCTCTGGCACGCGAGTCCCGCAGCGTTCCGACCGGGCGCTTTTCGCGCCACAGGGCCAGGCCCTTGCAGCTC